AAAAAAAAAAATTTTTAAATATCTGGTAGATGGGGCTGAGTGAGAAGTTGGCAGGGGACAGTTGGTGATCCAGTTCAACTGAGGGCATCCTGGGAGGAAGGAAGAGGTAGGCATGCATGTGTGCATGGGACTCTATCCTGCCCCGGTGTAGAGGTGGAGGGGAGCAGCCGGGAGCGGCCCGTCATTACCCCATTCACCCACCATGCCCCAGCATGGAGTCACTGGATGGAGAAACAGGTCTGCTAGGACTCAGCACTTGGTTTGCGGGGGACCTGGGCCAAGCACTCAGTACTAACAACTTCCCAAACTCCACTAGGTACCTGTGTATTCAATGTTTGTCCTATCATAGACCTTATTCCCATTCTACTAAGAGAAAACAGACTTCAAAGAGATAAAGAAATGGAGGCCCAGGGAGCTGAATTTCTTTTCCAGCATTTCCTTCTGGAAGTCTCTCCCGCTTGAGGAATGAGGCTATGGCCCCCATCAAAGCCAACCTACCCTTTGCCATGTAAGGACCTCCAGAGACAGTAGGAACAGATTGAGCAGTGTGGGTCAGTGCCCAGGCATCCACCATGAGATCACCAGTCAGCCCTTGAGTGGGTTCCCAGCCTTGCCCTCTGCTGGCCTTTTGTCTGCCTGTCAAACAGGGTCCAGCAATTGGCCCCAGGTCCTTTTGGCATGATGGGTGCACCCCCGGCTATAGCCTCCCCTGCCTATTCACCCATGACTCCTGTAAAGATCCAGAGTTCCCAACTTTCTACCCTCCCAGAGCTTCAGAGACAACAGTGGTTTCACTTGTTGTCAAAAAAAAAAAAAAAACAAAGTAAAAACGTGTGCCTCAAAGGACACAATCAAGGGAATGAAAAAGCAATTCCCCCTAACAGAAGAAAATATTTGCAAGTCACCTATCTGATAAATAATTAATACCCAGAATATATGTACAAAGAACTCTTACAATTCAAAAATGACAAAACATTCTACCCATTCAAAAATGGGCAAAGGAGGTCAGGTATGGTGGCTCACACCTGTAATCCTAGTGCTTGGGGAGGCCAAGATGGGAGGATTGCTTGAGCTCAGGAGTTTGAGAACAATCTGAGGAAGAGTGAGACCCAGTCTCTGCTAAAAATAGAAAAAATGAGCTGGCCATGGTGGTGGGTGCCTGTACTTCCCAGCTACTTATCCCACCTACTTGGGAGAGTAGGGCAGGAGGAATGCCTGAACCCAGGTGTCCAGGAATTTGAGGTTGCCGTGAGCCAGGCTGATGCCATGGCACTCTAGACTAGGCTAACGGAGAGAGACACTATCTTTAAAAAAAAAAAAAAAAATCCTTCCCTTGGAAAAAAAAAAAAATTAAGTTCTGACACGTGCTACAACATGGATGAACCTTGAAAACATTATGGTAAGTCAAATAAACCAGAAACAAAAAGATAAATATTATATTATTTCATTTACATGAGGCACCTAGAATGGTCAAGTTCATAGAGACAGAAAGTAGCGTGGGGTCACCAAGGGCCAGGGAGCAAGAAATTGGGAGGTGCTATTCAAGGGTACAGAGGTTCGTATTGTACAAAAACATGAATGCACTTAATGCCACAGAACTGTACACTGAAAAAGATTAAAATAGTAAAATGTATGTTATGTATATTTTACCACTATTAAACAACAAACAAGGAACCAGCATGGTGTACCCCAGAATAATACAGAATTAGAAGGGAGGGTGCTTGTGAAAGGAAGGAAAACCAAAGCAGCCAGGCCAGAGCCACAGCCTGAGGAAGGGTCTGCAGAGAGGAGCAGAGCTAGAGAGGAGCAGTCACTCCCTGAAATAGGATCAGGGTTAGGAAACCACCCAGGAGAAAGGCAGTGCCGGGACAAGGTCCACACAACGGGGAGACCACAGCTGACAACAAGGCAAAACTAAGATTTTGGAGACATGCTATAGGGAGTCAAAGAACCAAAAGGGAATGATGAAGGTCGAGGAGCTGGTGGACCAAGAGCCCATTTGGGGTCTGGTGGGGAAGTGGAGATGGTCAGGGCAAGGATTGGGGTGGGGTGAGCATGGGGCAGGGGCAACCAGGGAGAACTTGGGTCAGGAGAGGACAAGAGAGAAGGGGTGTTCTCTGGGTGAGAGAAGGCAGGGGCTGTGAATGATGAGAAATTGGTGAGGGTCCCAGCCAGCTGGGCAAGGGGTGGGAGCAGGATGAGGTCCCTACTCCAGAGAGAGAGACAGTGCAGCTGCTATGGGCTGGAGAGCAAGCCTCAGAAGAGTGAGGCTCAGGATGAAGGAGAGGACGGGGCCACAGCAAGGCAGGGCACAAGCAAGCACCTGTACTGGGGGAAAGGGAACTATACTGCCTTGATCCCAGTTAGGGTCTGAGTGTCATTCTCATCAGGGATTCCCTTAGAACAGCTGAAGGGGAGTGGGATGGAGGGAAGACTCTTGGACTGACAGCACCACCAGAAAGTCAGGGCATTGGAAGGGGTGGCATACCAGCAGCGCTGGGTGAAGGCTCCTTGCAGGAAGAGCCCATAGGGAAGGAGAAGGGGCTTGCAGTAGTCCAGGAGGGGGTGACGGCAGAGGGCACCCTATAAATGGACCAAAGAACTGTGGCCAGGAAGGGAGAGCAGGAAAACAGGGAACTGTATGGGAGAACGGAAAGGGGTGAGGCAGG